CTGGACCAAAGAGGTGGAGTGACTGAACAGAACAGAACACTGATGTCCATAAAGCAATGACACTGGCTAATATTTGTTCAATCTAAGAGCTTGACTGACACTCAAAGTTGTCATTTACAGAAAAAAAAGGTGTGTAATCCCGTTATGTGTCCCATCGACTACATCCAGGAGGTTAATGCTACGTACGCTGCCTCAAATTAGCTGTATGCTTTCATACATATGCTCACTAAACGAGTCTTTTCAATGTCTGTAAGAACATATGTAAGAAAAAAGCTGGCGAGCATGCATCAATATAAAAATATTTATTTGTGTACAGTGCATTCATACATACACATACTGCATATTTCAGGTTACAAATATTTACACGTTATAAAATGTATTGTAGGTTTTCTTGACCTGACAGTAAACCTGGCACGTTACCTGACATACAAAATAGACTAAATGGATAGCTGGTTCTCTACATACGTTCTCTTTTAAATAAAGATTTCAGTACAACGCAGAAGTTACATGTTGGAAAAACAAAAAATAAAAGAAAATCGATTGGGTTTAAGAGAGTTTAGGGCATCAAGACGTCATTTTTGTCTGAAAAACATTAGCTTTAAAAGTGCATGATGAATTAAAAAAAAATGTCATTTTTACACATTTACAACACATGTATGTATTAAATCCGTGTCACTGTGTGTTCGTTCCCTTTTGCTGTCCACTACATGAATGGCTGTTTTTATTTCCACAAGGCTGTAAAATAAGTTCATATGTCCAGTGCTAACAGAGCTACCAGCGCCCCCCCTTTTAAGAGGATCTTTTAAGTCTCTGAGCACAGTTTGTTTTTTTTTCAATCTATTCACATCACAGGCCGTTAGAAGACAGAGTGCGTCCTCTGGAAAGTGAGGCGTACGTTTGGTTCTAGCAGAAGTACTCATTCGGTGGCCCTTCAGTCCTGGCTGTGGCCTCTGAGTCAATGCTGGACCTCGCTGACAGCAGCCTGTTGGATTCGTCCGGGTTTAGCCTGGTCAGATACTCGCCCTCCATCCCCTTAGCCTTGGCCGCGGGGCCGAGGGTCTCAAAGGTGACGTACGAGTCCTGAATCTCCTTGGATTGCCTCCCCAGCAGCTTTTGGCAACGTTTCTTTAGCGCCCCGCAGCACACGATCAGTGTCAGGGGGACGGCGATCACGCACGCCACCGTTATCACCACCACATTAATGAGCTTCTGAGTGCCGCTGGCGCTGGCCGCCTCGTCGGTTGAGAAGATTACACATTGCTCCTTTTTCGGGATCAGACCTTTGACGCAAACACAAGCAATGTACTTTGTCTTAGGCACAAGGCCATCGATGGTGATTCGGTTCTTTCCAGCGCCCACATTGATCCTACGCATGTCTCTCTCGCCAAATACAGCATATAGGACACTGAACTCTGTGGTGTTTGTGGCTGTGGGGGCTCGCCAGTTCAGAGACACCGTGTGGTCGGTGTCGCCGATCACCTTCACTGAACGCACGATCCTTTTCTCAGGAGCTTGCTGTAAGGACGAGGCGTTGGCTGCCAAGTTGCTCAAAGCATCCATCTCCACCGGCTTCTGAGGCTCTGAAGCTTTGCCTTGTCCCTGAGAGGCGCCGTCAGAGATGCTGTAGCTCTCGATCTCATACTTCCCAGTCACGCCTTTGCTGTTCAGAGGCTCGATGATGGGCTGAGCAGCCGTGGCTGTAGGTGGAGGAACATATCTGGCAATAAGTTTCTCCTGGTAGGCCGCCCTTCCAATACCACCAGGCTTCTTCCCTCTTGTTCGCTTAGAAACGCCGCCGCCGCCACCGCCGCCTGCTTCATCTGCCCGCAAGGAATCTGTGATGACCAGGGAGATGATGGCGTCTGCAGTGCCCACAAAGTTAGTTGCCTTGCATATGTATTTCCCAGAATCCCGGTAGGAGACAGCAGGCACGCTCAGAATGGACCAGATGATGCCTTCCTTTGAAATCTCTTCTTGAACTGTATAAAAAAAATCAGAAAGCACACACACAGCGCTAAGCAGATTGGCACAAAGAGAATAACTTTAATCTCATTGACACATTAAGTAGGACAGAAATAGACGCCCGTTCTAATTTAAGCACATCTGGACCGAGTTCAGGAAAACTCACCTGTGCCGTTCATCTTCTTGCCGTCGGCGCGGCTCCAGGAAAGCTCGGGGATGGGCACCCCGACCGTTCCGCAGCGGAGCAGGACGTTGTTGCCCAGTGAGCTGCGAACGCGAGCCACGGCCGTGTGCACCCGAGGGCCCTGGCACCTCTGCAGCTCCGCCTCGGTGAAGAGAACCCCTGAAAGGCTCTCCGGATCGGCGCACCTCAGCCTGGTGTCGATGAGGGCCACGGACGACGAGGGGGACTTCTGGAACTGGACCAGATCGTACAGTCGGCAGTCGCACAGCCACGGGTTGTCATGGAGACCTGCAGGTGAAACCAAGGAGTGCCGTCAGTGAAAAGACGAACATTTTAAGACCAACAAGTGACAACTTGACACACTGCTCACATAATTAGACTAATCCCTAACTCAGCTTTAGTTACCGCTGCTGTCAAACAAGTGGTTCTCATGCAAGGCAGCTTAGAAAAAAAAAAACACTTTGCAGCATCCCGATATATCACAGCTTTGTCCTCACCCAGAATTAGTTTGGAATCGCTGTCCTGTGACGGCTTCACACTCAGCCACATGGTGAGGACGTCAGCGGGGACGGTGGTCAGGCTGTTGCTCGATAGGTCCAGATAGGTGAGGTTCTTGATGTACATGGTGGCCTCGGCGGGGATGCTGGAGATCTTGTTGTTGTGCAGGTCGAGGAGCCTCAGGTTGGACATGTCGGTCAGAGACTCCCAGGGGAAGGAGGTGAGGGCGTTTCCGTCCAGCCGCAGCTCGTCCAGGTTGTAGAGACCCCGGAAGCTGTCGACGCTCAGCGAGCTGAGCGAATTAAAGGACATCCAGAGGAACTCCAGGCTGTTGAGGTAGTGGAAGTTGTTGCCGGAGATCCGTGTGATCGCCGTCTTCTCGATTCGGAGCTTTGACGTGTCGGAGGGGAAGTTTGGAGGGACCACGGTGATATCTGGATCGTTGCAAAGCACACTCCTGTGAGAAAAAAACAAATAAACACACATTAGGATTTTTAATAGCAGCAGCAGCAACATTAAAACAACTTTCAAATTAAAAGCAGATAATTTTAAAATGTTACACCTCCTTTTCTATTTAAAAAACAAAGACAGCATAGTTCAGGTTATTTGAGACAAACCGTAGGAACCTATTGTTCAATAACAAGCAAAGGAGATTAAAGAGCAACTCCAAGTTAATCCTCCGCTCCACGGAGCGACCGAAGGTAGGAAAGCTGCAGTGAAAATCAATTCTGCACGCATGAAAATAACTAAAACACTTGCAATGAGAGCAGAATTCTAGTTGGTTTACCTTGCTTTGGATCCGTCGCTTAGTTTGTGGAAGAAGCAGCTGCATTGCACCGGACAGGAGCTGCACAGCAGAGGCAGGAAAACTACAGCCACAGACAAAGCAGCAGCAAAATGTCGACTCATTTTTTTTTCTTCTTCTTCTTCTCCTGCAAGCGACTAAACACTATGCAACTAAACTACTAATTAAAAAATAAGTAAATATGGGCGCTCCTGCTGGGTCTAGCGGGACATCGGATGCATGGTGGTGGTTTGCAGGCTCACAACTCCACACTGCTCCGACTGGTCTGAATCCTCAGATAAAAAGGATAGGCAGGGATTAGAGGAGGACTTGGGTTATTTTCATTCACACGATTAGGCTATTGCTTCCTGGGAGCTGATAGGCTGCACGGTTTTCACTTTCATGCTCCGGCAAACGCTTCCAGACAGTTGATTGGAGGGTTAATTATGACACAAACCAACTGGAAAGTGTAGCAGATAAATTTAAGATGAACAAATCAGAACCAGTACATATATTCCTTCCTTATAACCACCACAGTAGCAATCATGATTATCTGTAGATTTCTTGTGCAAAAACATTTTAAAGTGAAGAATACAGTTTTTAAACAAGTTTGGGTTTAATGCTGCCACATTTTTATGTAGTAGTTTTGTTTTTAAGGCCTTTTCTAAAAAGACTTTTCTCAATTTTTTTAATGTTTGTCACCATAAATCAAACAAATCACCTCTCTGGAAGCACAGCAGCACTGCTATACACTATTCCTATTTGTTTTGTCAGCGCTACATGGCCTTGACATGTTTCTGACATAGTTTATAAAATGTTCAGCATATAAACAGAAGGTATTTTGCACAACGGCTGGAACTTAAACGGCCACTAGATGGCAGTGATGAGTTTTTAAGCGTCTCCAGTGTTAAGAGTTTCTCACTTTCTTATTGTTAAAGCCACATTTTCAGCCGTGCAAGGTTTTAAAAACTGTTTTCCAGGTTTTTATTTGATGTAGACAGCTGAAAAAGACTCTGCTCTGCAGCTCCATCCAGGTGATCGGTCGGTTTCAGCTGTTTTTTATGTTCAGTATGTTCAGTATTTCTGATTTGCAAATAAAGGAATGTATAGATTCACTTTTTACCTAAAGGGAAATAAATAAACCTTTTAACACGTGTATATATGTCACCATCATGCACACACACACACACACACATATATATATGCAGATAGGTGACAAATTAAAGGAAAAACCTGAACCCATCACCCCTACAGTGAGGAGATCCTGCTGTGGTTTTGTTTTCACACTTTCACTCATTCTCTTAAAGAGAGGAGTGTCTGTAAATCAATACAGAGCTGTTGTCAGTGATCATGTTGTGAGGACACATTTCTATCTTGATGGCTGCTGAGTGATCTTTTACCAAATCACAAAACCTCCAGCCAGAGGACACGAGGACTCACTGAGAGGTTTTAATGAAAATGATGAGAATCATGTGTGATGGTCTTGGCAGTCACCGGCTCTGAGCCGAGCTCAACACACACATGAGAGGTTCTAGACCGACGTGTTGGACTGTGCTCTCTGCAGCTGTCATCACAACACAGAATGATTGAATATCTTTCAGTACAATGATGTTTATCTCTCCAGTACAGTTCCAGAGGTTTGGAGGATTAATGTCGAGACATGCTGAAGCTGTTGTGGTGACATGTGGCAGCCCAACAGCTTCAGTAAGACGGTTCATTTTCCTTTAATTTGTCACTTGTCTGTATAAAATAGGCTCAAGGGTTCAAGGATTCCAGGTCTTTTATTGGCCACAAACACAGTTATACCTGGTATAACGCGCAGTGAAAAGGGTTTTGTTCCTGTTCCACACTGAAACAATAATAAGATAAATAAGAATAAGGAATAAAACACAGATTTTGTTCCTCCAGGTTATATATGCATATATGTATTTAAATTAACAATTTTTAACTATGATTTTTAAAAATGTACTGTTATTTTACAGAGTGCCTGTTTTGTTAAATTACTAATAACTAATAACCAAAAAAGAAGCATCACCTTACATGTTAATCCTAAAGGAAACAGGCCCAATAATAATATTCATTCTGTTTCAACATTTGACCATAAAAATACACTTTTTTTTTTTACAGTTATTTTTCAGATATTTGTTGTTATTTGTAAGAAAAATATGTATATTAAGGATAGTTATTTGACAGATTTCCCCTGTGTTGTTAGATCACAGATGACATACAGCAAAATCACAGAAAAGGAGAATTCATTTTCATGCTGATTATTAAAAAACCTGGACAAAAGTCTGAATAATGTCCTCTATTGTTTTTACAAATAGTAATTTGTTCTTTTGCAATGTGTCACTGTAATTTTTACTGTATTTAAATCAGCTGAAAATATATTTATTTACAGATGTTTGCTGTTATTTTCACCATCTTACAGTTTATTTTATTTCATATTTTTCATTCTTGCTGCCAGAGTTTCACTGTTTTTTATGAACTGTTTTTTATTTTTACAGTGCACACTCATCACCCACTTTATTAGGTTCACTGTTAAATCTAATCCAAGGCAACAGATCTGCCATAAGTTCAGTTTTTGTTATTAAAAGGTGATCATACTGGTTTATATTTGTTATTGAAGTGGCTGACTGGACTGCATTGTACTAAAAAGTGTTTCTTTTATTTTCTTAATCAGATTATTATACGAGGAGGTAAAATATATAAAACAGGCGACATCTTCACGGTTCCACCAACACCTACCACGACCTCAGCAGCACAATTTTCACCTCTTTGATTCTGTCAACATGTGGAAGCTCAGTGAAAGTAGAATTTACAGCAGAGCTATCGTATTGGATTGTAACGGATTTCCTTCTCTCTGTGTTTTCACCTCCACAAACAAAAGCCCAAAATTACAGAATGTGACAGTAATCTCCAGGTTCTAAGCCCGTTACTGTACTACTGCTGCTACACGGTGTACTATTAATAAATTGGAGTAGCGTCTCGCAGAAAACATCTCGTCGTGTGTGTCAGAGTGTGACACACTTTGCGGCTGACAGATGTGTTGTCGCCGTCTCGGAGGGTTTTTCACAGGTGCAGAGGTTTAAAGACACGGCGGCCGGGCGGGATTTCAAATCCTTTAATCCAGTCATCCCTTTGTCTCTTATTAATACATCTTTGTTCCATTTCTCTCAGGAGGGATGTCCCGGGCAGGAAAACCTCCGGCAGCCCGGCACATGTCCTCGCCAGCCTTCCCCCATATGACCTTGACATTTGGAAAAGGAGAAATAATGACGACATGAAGTAGAAAATGTAATAAAAACTCTTGTTTATCATGTCTGCAAGACTTTGAATACATCAGAACTTCTAAACTGGATGATTTTTTTTGCTTTGCTGCAGCAGAAAGAAGAAAAAAGTAGAAACACTATCGTCTTAAAATACTACAATACAAGTAAAACTGAAAAGCTATCCTTCAGTTTAGTACTTTAATGCATGTTTATGGTTATTTTTCATCACTGCAGACACATTTTAGCTGCAACGTACTAAATATAAGCAGCGGATCACCAAAGAAAAGCATCCAGCATCAGTATTTCCCCTTGACATGCTGAAAAACAGCCAAAATTCGACCAAAATGAGAACACCTCGAGGTGCCAGAACCTAGAAATAGGACCTGATTTAGCTGCTTCAACCGCTTTTTATAGAGTAAACAAAACCACTTGTTTTGCCATCTCGCTCCAGGTTTTTCGGTACGAATGCAAATTCAACAGTGAAACCTTTGTTTCATTGCAAAACCGGCAGATTATGTCGGAGTAATTAACTATGTGCCAACGGACTAATGTTTAACCACTGCAGAGGTGCAACTCTTACAGGCGGGTTATTCGGGTCAGCTGTAGGGTTTTATTTGGAGCTACGCATAAAGAAGAGGTTCCAGGATAATAGTTCATCTGTGGCTTGAGGCTGACACTGACTCTAATCGTGCAGTCTTCTCTTATTTCAGAGCTTTTGATTTTGCTCGTTTGTTAATGACGCTGCAAAGAGGCGACAACGAACCTCCTCAGGTTCAGATTACACTTCCTACAGCTGATCAATCCACTGCTGCGTTGGCTCAGACCGGCTCCGGTTTCATCACACTCAGCTGCCGTAGATTAACAGATTGCGTTATTGAATCGTTTGAATTGGCACCTTTATGTTGCTGCACGGCGTCACGCTGCCGCCTCAGCCTCCGACCAAACGCTCCCACAGGCCTCCTGTTGGGATTAAGGGCAGCAAGCAAACACTCTGACACAGAAATCAGATGCTCCCACTTGTCAGTTCATCTGTGAGACGTCAGCGTTTCTGCGGTGCCGTGTGTCAGAGCAGCAGATGCCGGACGTGGCGAGGCCTGGAACCGGACGCGGCGCTGAGCTTTCACTCAGGACAATATGGGCAGTTTGAGAAAAGGGTATTACAAGTCCATTGGGACACATCATTACTTCATAGTTAATGAGTTTGTGGTAATCTGTGGACAGATTAGTGGTGCAATCAGACTTTGCCCAAATGTTGCATTTTAGAAGGTTCAGGCTGCTGCGAGAGCCAGAGGTCACCGCTCTGTTGTCCTGGTTCTGTCGGGTTATTTGGTCAACAGTCCGAGACGGATGAACAAGTAAATGAGTCCTGATGCTCTCACTTAATACATTAATTAGTTATTGACCTGTTACACTCAGTATAAAAGTCTTTTGGAGTCCAAGATGACAGATACAACAGAGACTGTGGAGTGTTTTGCCAGTTGAACCCTCACATGTGAGACTGTAGAGGACAGTCAGCGGAATTAAGCCTAAAAAAGATGCTGACTACGGTGGTCTAAGGTTAAGTTTGTTTACTTCAGGTGCAATTACACACGTGGACAAAATAGTTGGTACCCCTCGGTTACTGAAAGGAAAACAAACAACGGTCACAGAAATAACTTGAATCTGACAAAAGTAATAATAAATAAAAATTCTAGGAAAATTACCCAATGAAAATCAGACGTTGCTTTTGAAAAAATAAACTCATGAAACAGTTCTGGACAAAAATGATGGTACCCTCAGAAAAGACTGAACATAATGTGACCATAGGGACATGTTCAATAGTGTAATATTTTACTACTTCTTACCGTTCTATTCTACGGCCTTATTGGACCCCACCTATGGGAGCCCCTCGCAGACGTTTGCAGAGGATCTGAATTCTCAGATAACTCTTTACAGAGCTCTCAAGCCTTAATCTGCTTGTTAGAACTATAACTTGGTCACAGCCATCATTAGTAAAAGGTCAGGCGATGCAGGTTTCAAAGCTTCATTAATGCTGTGATTCCTCAATAATTAACAGCCACTGACTCCTCCAAGCACGTCAGACTCCTCTAAACTTTGAAAATTCAAATAATCGATGCCCACAAAGCAGAAGGAGACAATAAGGAGGGACAACGGGCTCACAGGAAGGCAAATCCTAAACCTCTGTTTGACTGGAACAGACCTTCAGGAAGATGGAGCAGACTCTGATGTGGTGGTTTACCTGGACAGACATGAGCTTCTTGCAGGAGTCGTCAGAAGTAAAACCTTCTCTGCATCCTCACCGTAAAATTCTGCATCAGAAATTTGCAAACGAGCATCTGAACAAGTCTGGATGGTTTAGAAACAAGTCCTGTGAAGCAATGAAATTAAAATGGAACTTTATGGAAGAATGGATCTGACTGAACAGGATAAAACATTAATAACCTCAAGGAAACTGTTGAAAAAAAATGGATGAGGATCAGCAAATTAATAACAAATTCTGAAAGCAAACATCACATTATCTGTCCAAACATGATGAGAATGGAAAGAGGACCGCTTCTATAAAAGAATAATGATCCTAAACACTCCTAAGAATCCACAACAGATTACTTCAAGAAGCATAAACTAAAGGATTTGCAGGAGTCTTCACAGACTTCTGACCTAAACATCAGTGAAAATCTGGCAAAGTCTTCAAAAGAGAGAGCAAACGATGAAATTCTCCTCAAACAAGAACTAAAAAGTCTTTTTTTTTTTTTCTATTTACAAGCCGTGACACTTGCACAAGAGATAAGACTAAACTTTTGCTTTCAAGACGTATATTTTGTTTGTTTTTTTAAAATTGTACTTAGATTATTATAGAAATGTGAACTTTATGTCTTCTGGAAATCAGAAATACTGTAGATGCATTTAGAAGGAGGGAAAAAAAGACTAATTCAAAGCTAAATTAGCAGATTTCTGCAAATTTTAATGAATAAATAAAGATTTTGTTGAAACATTTTAAATAATATTGTATTATATTTTTCTTTTAAAGTCACATCAGTTCTACTTAAACAGCCCAAAGGAGAGAAAAAAATGCCCCAAGAGGTCACAGTCAGGGCAAGTCTTCATCTGATTTATGAGCATCTCCCACCGAAACTGAAATCCACGTTAAAAGACACCATTTCCCATGTTTCCCTGCTCTTTCCTTATCGCTTACAAACGCTGAAATAAACTAAAAGAACAAGGCTGCTGTCTCCCACCAGCCCGCAGGGTCTCTGGTCACAGCTGAGCGCAAAACTTCCTCAACTTCTACATCAAAGAGTTACGCAGCAAAACGCGCAAACCTTCTTTTTCTTTTTTTTTCGGCCACAAACTTGCATAAAGTTTGCAGAAAGTCTGCTCGTTAGCACATTCTTCGGGGGATTGCGAGGGGGAGGTTTACTGAGATTAGTGTCTTTATGCTTTTTCACGTGAAAGAGCCTTTATAAGGCGCCGTCGCGTTTGGAGACGGTGGTTCTTTTTACGCGTCAGAAAATAAAGGAGAGGACTTGGTTTGTCTTTCGCGCAAATTTTTCATTCGTGCACTTCAACATGGCAGCATACACGTTACCGGAGGGATTCTCGGAGTTTGACATGTTTACATTCGGCTCAGCACTTCTGGTTGGGGGTAAGTGGACCGAGAACAACAGGGTTGCATAAGAATTAAAGGGACAGTTCACTCCGGAAATAAGTGTTCAAAGTGCTGAAAGTCCTAAACATGCGTTCATTCATTAGTTTTCTCAGTATTATGCTTGAAATAAGGGATTTTGTTTTAAAAGCTTTCAATCCATACTTTCACAAAGTTCATTTAAAATATGTTTCTTTATGTTTGCAAACTTTTTAAACCATAAAGTTCAGGATGATCTGCTGGTGACTCTGGTTAAAGGTGGAAAATCTGTCTTCTTCTGACTTCCAGGCATGCTGGGGTTCTTCCTCAACGCCATCAGCATCGTGTCTTTCCTCACAGTGAAGGAGATGAGAAACCCCAGCAACTTCTTCGTCTTCAATCTCGCCATCGCCGACCTCAGTTTGAACATTAACGGCCTCACAGCCGCCTACGCCAGCTACGTCAGGTACCACAGACAAAGTTTATCCTTCCACATGTTTTTAAAATCATGTGTGGGACCATTTGTTTCCTAAAAAAAAAAAAACAGGAAAATATTCAGTGTTTGATGTCCAGCAGCAGCTCCATAAGCCTCAGGGTTTCATAATCCGGTCCGATCCACAAGCCGATTGATTTTGCAAGAAAATCCCAAAGCAAATCTGGAAGTTACCAAACAAACTGATTCTACGGACTGAAAAAATAGTGCAACATGTTAAGTATGTTTATAGGACTTCGTATTTGGACAAAAATGTACTGAGGACTCCAGACTTACATACAATTATTTTGCAAAATGCACCATTTAGGAAAAACAACTGAAATAATAAAGATCTTTTTAAACTAAGAATATAGGTTCTTGAGATCAGTTCATGCAGGTGGGCCTTTAGGGATCCTGTTGTTTCTGTGTGTAATAAGCTTTAGTGGCGCTTATCGTTATAATCACTGCATCTGCAAACATTTCAGTAACCGAGGACTAATCATCACATTCTGCAGGAGGCTTGGGCTTGAGGCCAGCTGCTCTGTTTTGAGTCAACCTGCCCTCCTGTGAGATGATCAAAGAGGTCATAGTTTAGTGACACATGGACAGTCTACAGATATGTGCAGCCTGTGATGAGGGTTTGTGTGAACTCGGTGGGTCACGCTCCAAAAATGTTGAGAACTGGCGAGTTAATCTGCTGTTTCCTCATTTTAAAGTCCATCTCTGGTCACTGAGTTACCTCCGGAGATAAGAGTTTTTTTCCTCATGAAAATAATCGATTCCTTCCTTAGAATGTGGAGATTTATGAAGTCGTCACTCGAGCACACCAGCTCACCTACAGCTCTGCTCAAACGCTGTGAAGCTGCTCCCACTGGCACGTTGTAATATTTGAAACTGAAACTTTTGTCAGTACGCTGCAGCTTTAATGTGGAAACGCTCAGCCGTTGCACTGACTGCCTCTTTAGCTCATGATGTTTGACTAGCGAGTAAAACAAACCAGACGGACATGATAACAAATAAACAGAACAACAGTAAAAGTGTGATGTTCACCTGAGAGGCTCTTCTTTCTTCTCCAGGTACTGGCCGTTTGGTCAGGACGGTTGTGCCTTTCACGGCTTCCAGGGCATGATAGCGGTCCTGGCCTCCATCAGTTTCATGGCTGCCATCGCTTGGGACAGATACCACCAGTACTGCACCAGTGAGTTCAGACAGTTCAAGTCTATACAGACTATAGATCACTGTTACATCAGGAAGAACGTGTCCAAATCCAATAAGGACTGCTAAACAAAATGATAAAGATCCAGACGTTTTGCTTTTATCATGTTGCATTGAGCAACATTTTGCATTGCTCAGTAAAATGTATTTGTTTAGTTTATTTGGTTGTTACTTACTGCAGACTCAAGGAGAGCTATGAAAAAAGAAAACATTAAACTTAATGTAATCAGATTTAATTAAAGTCCAGGTCAATGCTAACGCTGCTTTGTGTCTGCTTGATAAAACTAATAGGAAACATCTCTGCGAATGCATTCAGTATGTGAGCTTTCACTGAGTCAGTTAATGCAGTTTTACTCTTATTTCAAACTGAATATTCACATTCAGCCATAATAAATGAGTAACAGTGGTGGACAGTAGTAGCTACTGGAGGGCCTCATTTTGTCGCTCAGTCTTTTCCTTTGAGGCTTTACAGCGAGACGAACTGAAGGTCTGAGATTCTGGTCGCCTGCTGTTTGTTGTCAGAAGCAGACAGCAGAAAAACAAACGGCCACATCTTCTCTTTCATTCTGCAGGACAGAAGCTCTTCTGGAGCACGACTCTGACGATGAGCGGCATCATCTGGATTCTCTCCATCTTCTGGGCGGCCGTTCCTCTCATGGGATGGGGCGTCTATGACTTTGAGCCCATGAAGACGTGCTGCACGCTGGACTACACCAGAGGAGACAGGTAGAGACATATACGAACAGAAGTGACGCTGAAACTGGGATCAAGAACAAAATGATTAGTTTTCTGTTGTTTTCATTGCAGTGGGTTCACATTTTAATGTCTGTAGTCAGTTACTAAGAGATGCTTCATTCATTCTCACAACTACTTCCTGTTTCCCGTATTGTTTTCCTGCCTAACAGGGACTACGTGACCTACATGCTCACCCTGGTGGTGCTCTACCTGATGTTCCCGGCCTTCACCATGCTGTCATGTTACGATGCCACCCACAAACATTTCAAGAAGATCCATCACCACAGGGTAGATGTGCTGCAGTTTTCTCACAAGCTCCACGTCTTTCCCATCAAGTTCCCAGATCCTGAAAGGGAGTCTTATTGTTTGCATTAGGTTTGATTAGAACAAGTACTTCCAAAAGGCTATGATCAGTTGCAATGTGTGAAGAAGATGCATCTTGAATATTATGTTGGAAATATTAGCTTCCTTGACTTGAGTTAGATGAGTAGATTAATGCCTCTCTTATGTTTGAACAATAAATATGACCCATGGCCAGGAGGTAATTAGCTTAGCTTAGCATTGACCCAGGGGGAAACAGCTATCCTGCTAGACAGTAAGCCGTGTAACACAATGGTCTTTGTTTTCTAGTTCAACACCAGCCTGCCCTTGAGGGTGATGCTGATGTGCTGGGGCCCCTACGTCCTCATGTGCATCTACGCCTGCTTTGAGAATGTCAAGCTTGTATCTCCAAAGCTAAGAATGGTGAGTGCTTTTTTTTTTTTTTTTTGCTTCTTGTTAAATTCAGTGTCAGAGTTTCCAAGAAAATACAGTAAAAAAAGATGAAAAGATGAGAAGGAAGCTCTCTTTTTGCCGACATAGTTTAAAGTCTTGTTGTAGTTTATGATTTAAGTCTTACTTTTGTAGCTTTGGCCAACATTCTTATAATAAGACTGACAGGAACAAAAAAATGAAGGTCTGTTTTAGATATCCATCAAAGTTTGACCTACCATGTGCACAAACTAAACGCTGTACAAAGAAGATGGATGAAATGACTTAGACCTGCATTCTGTCTAATGGACAGCAGGGGGCGACTCCTCTGATTGCTAAAAGAAGCCACATCATATAGAAGTCTGTGAGAAAATGACCCGACTTCTCACTGGATTTATTACCTCAGTAAAGGTTTTCCTATTGAGTTTATGGTCTCCGTTGCGAGCTTCACATCTCCTTCAATACAACGTGATGCTCGTTTGGTAAATGACGCTCCCATTTAGAGTAAAATACATTTCAAAGTAGGGAACGCTTTGGGACGTGGGTAACTTGTGATCGCTGCCAGAAAGCCTCTAGCATTCTTAAGTTTTCAGTTACATCCATTTTCAAGATGGCGACGGCCAAGTTTCAGGCTTAAGGCTTCAGAACGACACCCCACAAACCAGTGGGTCACGTCACCGTGGTTACGTCCATCTGTTCTGGGTAGTTTATGGCGCAAACTGCTCCCCAGTGCAAAGAGGGGTTTGAAATTGGAAATTCTATTGTACAAAGAAAGTGGTTTACATAATCTCATCATTGTGTTTGTTTCCCTGTGGAAGGTTTGTTAAAGTTGATTATAAATGAGCACCATGTTTTTAATAGAAATCAATGATGGCTAAAGCTTCTAACCTAAGACTGAAGTTGGGATACATTCCCAAAGTAGGATACTCCCAAAAACTCATGGAGGTTCTTGTCTTCTGTCGCAGGTGCTTCCAGTCGTTGCAAAGACGAACCCCATCTTCAACGCGCTCCTCTACTCATTTGGAAACGAGTTCTACAGAGGCGGCGTTTGGCACTTCCTCACCGGACAGAAGATCGTCGATCCAGTCATTAAGAAGTCCAAATAAAAGCAAACTCAACATGTTCTGGCAAAAAAAAAAAAAAGAAAATAATGAATCCATCTGCTCTCATGATGGGTTCCTCACACTAACATACTGAGGTGTTGTGAAGTAAACGTCACTGAGCCGTTTAGATGTCTGTACAGTCGTGTTCATACCAGCTGCAGCTCGGGACAGTGTTTCTGTTTGGAGTCGCCTCACCAGATTCATGTAAATCTACAAAATGTGCTGCAGGTAATTTATCCTTTTTGAAAACATGCATGTTTGCCTTCCGGTTTCTAAGCTGCTGCTGCTCCTCCGTCCACATGTAACGCTCACAATAAACACAGATGTTGCTGCTCTCCTGCTCCGTCCTGTGTCTATTTTTAAACTCCGAAAGCCTGAATAAAGGAGCCTCGGTAAGTAACACGGAGGCTAAATTCTGCAAGTCACCGGCGACCAGAGACGTCCTGACGTGACACCAAACAGGCTCGGTGTTGTGCTTTTGTTTGGTTGACTGGCGGCTCTGATGTAACTCCTCTATATATAGTGAGGAAGCATTTAGTGTGCTAAGTCCGCATTACGCAACTGTGCTACACCTGAGGTAACGTGAACTTAGACACATTTCTAACAGGTTGTCAGATGAGCAAATAGGCAGAAAATCGAATATTACGTTGATTTGAGCTGCAGATTTAACTTATGTGGGAGTTTTAGCACTTTTCATTGGGCTGACTTGTACAAAAACAAACTCATTTATCAGAGGAATGAATGACTCATCAAACCTGTGAGGAAAGCAGGTAACTACACTTGATGGCAAATGAGAAGTTACACATTGAGACAGCAATTTGAAGAATTAATTCCCTGCTGACGCTGATTTGCCAGCTTCATAATACTAGCAGCGAGACGTCTTGCTCAGAGCCATTGATTACATGCGTGCCACTCTGTCTTTTTTTAATTTAGAGCCACATTGGTAAAGGCAGAGAGCAGCACCGTGTGGTCTCTGAGCCGCTAAAAAGAGCTGCTCCAGAAATAATCCACGGTGAGACTCTGTCACACTAACCTCCTGAGTGACGCTGGTGCCAGCAGGTGAAATCCTCTCAATGGCAGCGGCCTGCGTTAACGGAGGAGGAGTCGGTCCTAATGAGCCGCAGTCACAGTGTCAGAGGCCTGAAATAGAAACCTTTAATCAACTCAGAGCCAACGTACGAGCGCTGAGAATACTCAGCCTCACTTTCACTGGTTTGAAGTCAGAGAAACAGTCACAACAAATCTATAAAGCATGTTTTTAGCTAAAGATGCTAACATCAGTCATTTGGCCACTTTGGGCGCTTACAAAAATATTTCAGCAACTACTAGTAGGAAGGATGCTCATAGTCCTCAGAGGATGAACCCCACAGGCTTTGGTGATCTGCTAACTTCATCTTCAGTGCCACCATTAGATTGATATCTGTGGTTGTGAGTGAAATGGTTCAACAACTAAACTACATTTGCTGCATTCATGCTCCCTTCAGGCTGCAAGGTGGCTCAGTGGTTAACGCTGTTGCCTCACAGCTAGAAGGTCGCCGGTTGGCGTCCCAGTGAGGACACCCAGGATCTTTCTACATGGAGTCTCCATGTTCTCCCCGTGCAGCGTGGGTTCTCTCCGGGTTCTCCGGCTTCCTCCTACAGTCCAGAAACATGCTGAGGTTAATTGGTGATTCTAAATTGTCCGTAGGTGTGAATGTGAGTGTGCTTGGTTGTCTGTCTCTAAGTGTAGCCCTGTGATAGACTGGTGACCTGTCCAGGTGAACCTGCCTTCACCCTGAGTCAGCTGGGATAGACTCCAGCCCCCCACCACCCTAATGAGGACTAAGCGGTGTAGAGATGATGGATGGAAGTTCCCTTCAGAATAAATTTAAATATTTTTTTTGGTGATTACTTAAAAAATCATATGTTATAATCATGAGGTTAAAATATTAATTTGTCCAATACTTTAGTGAGCAAACACCTGCAAAACTGTACTTTCCTGGCGCTTTCAGTTGTCCTTTGTGTGCTACTGCTAACAGTCAAACGCCAACAAACCAACAATGGGACCCAAAATGGTGAACTTAAGATCCGTTTATCATCAGCATGTTGACGGACTGACTGAAGACGTTTAAGACAAATAAACAGCAGCCATATTGCTTGTTAAATTGATCTCTGTGATATTTTATGTTAAAAAAACAAACAACAAAAGATTCATTTTTGGCAAGATGTCACCTCTACGATTCTATATTTTTGTGTATGGTTTCTTGTTGGAAGAAAAAGAATGCAGCTAAGTTGGAAAACAAACCAGAAGCTGACTCATTGCTCTTCAGCTGCCTCTTTAGTGTCAGACGTCCTTGCAACACACTAATAAGCTCTGCTCATTAGCAGCTATTAAATGCATTTCTCAAAACGCTGCTGCTTCTCATGCACCTTGGGTAACCAGAGCCTTTTCTCAGGGGATGCTGAAGAATCTGACAGATTAGTGTCAGATTCTTGGAAACAGTTGGCTCTGTACCTAATGGCTGATTACGCCACTGTGCGTGGTGGACTACTGATCTAATTTGGTCGGAGCTGTAGACAGAAACAGTAGCAGCAAGCTCCCCCCGGAAGAAAGCAGGACGCCTTGTGTCGGACAGATATAGACCCATTGAGCTTTCTTCTAACGCCAAAGTAAATCTGACTACAACTCTTTTCATTCAGTAGAGTCAGGATTTAATATCCACCCACAAGGTGAGCTGAAGGTGTTCCTGACTGTGCTTAAATAGAGAACGACGACTATTTTTAATCTGATGCGAGTCACGGACAGATGGTATAAAAAGCAAAAAGCCACACATCTGTCCTTATGCAGCAAAAAAAACAGCAACCACAGCACACATGGATTCATACATGTGACATGAGATTTAGTTAATCAGTCAGATTTTGACCTTAAGAGCATCATGACATCAGGACTGCAGCCGTAAATTTAAAAACACTCGAGTGATGACTGCTCATGGTTCGGCCACGGAGAAGCATTTGATGTCAAAGTGTTTTTTACTCCTTTTTCTTCATATTCCACCAATATTTAGTCAGTTTAGCATATAGTTAAGCAGCAAAAGCATCAAACTAAAGAGGCATTTTCTGAAGCACCAGCTGTATTTGAAACTATGAACATCATCAGTGAAGTAGAATCCACATGACACAGGCTTCTACCCTTCAGATTATCTACATGTCAATACCCAGCACACAAAGCACTCTTCAAAACAAACATATTTTCTTTCATACTTGATTTGACTGAGCTGCCCATTCAGACAGTATTTTTTTTGTCATCGTCATCTACCTACATGGTGGTCTAATAGCCTTTAAGACTAAAAATATGATGCTTTAGTTTTAAAGCCACACTTAGAAATAGAAGTCAGGAACATTTAAATAACAAGAAATCCCTTCTTTGTCAAATTCAAAGATATTTACAGATTTCAAAATGAACTTTAAAAATACAGATCTGATTGCAAAATGCAAAAAATATTCTTCCTCTGGGTGTTAAAATCTCTAAAATACGCTATTTCTAGAACATGAGCACTTGCACTGTACTTCAAGAACACATAACGAAGTCAAAACCGATCAAATAGTTTCATGACAAACCCACTAAAGCTTCTCATTCATCTTGCTCCTCTGTGCATGAAGATTGCTCTCTTGCACATGTTTGAAGATTTGGACCTTTCCTGAAAAGCTCCACCACATGTTTGCCAAATGCCTCACTTGATATACCCAGACTATTTATCCATCTGGGTCCATCTCATGATTTAAATATGCAAAAAAAAAAAGTACAAAATGACCAAACAACTGCTCAAAATATAGCTTAAATTTATCGTTCTGAAATCCTGCCCAGCTGGATTATAATTCTACAAAAAGCATAAGGCCTTTTAAAATGTGGATTATGGTTGAAGAGCACTTGATCTGTTGAAGTGCGCAACAGCAGCTGACGAGTAACAGTTTAAGCCCAAAAAAAAGAAAAAAAGAGAAATATATATATCTATTGCATAATCATCTTTGGAGTTTAGGCACAGAAGTGAAGTGAGTTTTAAACAGTGTTTGTTTACAGTCCCAGGTTACTGATCAACCACGTGTTGGTCCAAAAGCTTCAGTCCTGCATGTTTATCATTAATAACGGTTGAAAAATGAGCGTGTTTACTCATGTAGAGCTACTTATCGGAAAAGAAAAGGCACGGGTCAGAGTAAATCTGTCCTTAGACGGTATACATTGGAGTCCAGAGGTCAGATTATATCACAGCGTGGAAGGAGACGTGATGAAAACCGAGACCTGCAGCTCAGTTGCGTAACACCGTATCTGTTCATGACGGGCTCTGGGTCACAAACAGAAATGTAGATTGTCATCCCACCACGACCTGTGTCAAAGACGTCACGTCTCCTGTGGGTTTGTCATGAAATCACTTTTGCAGGATTAGATCACATTTGCGTCACTCGACATCTCGACAGCGTTTTCCTCCTGATCTCGTAAATTAAACTCGTCTCATACTGTCTGACGTCTTCGCATCGGAGGCCCAGTCGCCATCCATAATTCGAGCCGGAGGATAAAGCAGACACTCTTCACTGTGCCAGGTTACTAGAATGAGTTGGAGAGATGATCCATGTGCTCACTCACATGACACCCGTGTTTATTTTAAACATAGCATGGCTGCAGCATGAGACTATCATGTGGGAGTGTTTCTGTGATGGCGAGTGCAGTGCGAAGCCTCTCTCATTAGTGAAATTGGGCAGTTATTTCCTGCGATGTGTTAATCCTCCTGTTGGTGTATTAATGTTCTCTGCTTCATATAATCCACTGAGCTCACCGTCTCCTGAGAGCAGCGTCCAGCACGCTGTTTTATAATGAAAAAATCTGCAACACAAGTATTTGCAACGCGTCGCAGTTACTGGAAAGCAAAAGGGACTGATTGTCTGGAGTACATGTTGTCATTATTCTTAGTAGCAGGAGTGGTGATGGCAACTTAGAAGCTGTAAAATTCGTACATTTATCTGATATGAGCTATTTTAATACTCTAAAACATATTTATTTTAATTTAGAGTTACAAATACCACGAGAGTTTCTTGTGCGGGTAAACATTTCCCACAAACGGAAGTTCCCTAGTTGATTATATTTGAGTATATTGACCCAGTAAGGTGCTTTTATTTATTCATTAACTTCAGTTCACTTACTTGTCTGTGGTCTGGTGTCAGAGGGAAGAGCTCCAATCCTCTGTTCTGTCTTGACATCAATGTGAAAGTCTTCACTGCCCTCTGCTGGCAAAGAGTAAGAAAGAAAAAATAATCTTTTGTACTGACAACATGGTGCCAGAAATGTTGAACAATGTTTATCATCAGAGGG